AACATATCAAATTTTATGCTCAGCAGATCACGTTTAGTTCCGTTAGTTTAAAATTTAGAGTAAATTGACCTCTCACAAAAATTAAAGGTAACATTATTATCGAGGGCATGACGTAGGCTTTTTATTATATTTTAATTTTAAAGTGAGTTATGTGTATTTTAAGATATACAAACAATTTTAAATTTTAAAATACACATGCGCGGGTGTAGCGTCCTCTTAAAGAAAATACTTAATAGCTCTATTGAAGCGTTTGACCCAGGTAAACAAAATGCAAACTCTACAACCATTGTAAGATTTTTGATACATTTACATATTTTCTTTAACTATATTAAATATTTGTACCCATTTTTGTTCTACTGAAATAACATTTTTTGTCCAGTCATCAAATTTGTCTTGAAAAATGTTTATAAAAGCCATAAACTCATCAAAGTATTCATCTTCATTAACCTTAACATATTCTGATATCATCTTTATTGTATTTTTAGCATTATTCCATGTTACTGTATTTTTGTTTGTTAAGTGCAACCAATTTAATTCAACCATCAGTGCCTGGTTAGGTAATGTCCACTTTTGAATATATGATGTAGGTACATAAATTGTAAAACTTTTGACAATTTATATCAAATTTTTTTTTAACTAAATAACCCTCTTCTTAAATAGAATCGATTATTATCTCCATTTCAGTATTAATAAAATGTTCATTCTTTCTGTTTTTTAAGTTATTTAATAAACTGTTTAATATATCAATTAATTCAAATGCCGAMATTTTTTCCCCTTCAATTTTTTGAATATAATTATTGAACAGTTTAAGCATACTTTGTATAAATTTCATATATAATAGAGCAGTGACGTTTTGAAAAAAGTCAACCAATATCTTAGGACTCGAATCTTGTGAAAGAAATACGACTTTAAGCCATCAAACATTAAAATAAAATAAAATAATTCTGTCAATTGCAGGAGACAGCGATAGCCATCTAGTTTTGGCATGTGATAAAATTTGCCTAAAATTTAGGCRCAACTGGTCTATGCCCGTCGAAGTATCCTACAGACCGATAATTTATAAACGAATGATTTTAATTGAATTATCCAGAAAATCCTATCATCACGCTTCAAATAAAAATATTTAAATATTAAAATATACCAAGTACATACAAATACAACCAATACTGTGGCACTGTGCTGTTGTCACTAATGTCACTTGTCTGTTGTCATAATTATTGTCAGTTGCATGTTATTTGTTATCTACGTCTTTATGACACTTATCCAAAATCGTGCCGTTTATCTATAGTATTGTTATCACATTTAAATATTTTTCTTTTATCAAGATGTACTAGGTATAAACATAGATAATATATTATATATTATCTATGGGTATAAATCATAATAATATTACTATTTACTAACGCCATGTTCATAGTTCAAAATTAATTCTTATTTCTCATTACTTCTTAGTTTATTACTTACGCTTCTATATTATGATACCACATACTAATCTGTTTATAACTATTTAAACTTTGAACTCCCGAAGGTAAAATTAATAAGTAATAGTATATTATTAAAAAAAAAACAGCAACTCATGTGTAATCCGAGTTAAACCGATAACCACAAAAATATATTACCTATCGTAGTTTCATCTCATACSTAGCTTATTAATGTAATACTATACAAATTGTTAATAGACAGTAATTGTACGTTGTATTATTCTTACAGACTATCACTGAACACTGTATGAACAATAGAATACTGCCAAAGCTATTCAAAGATGTCAAATCCAGGAATACTTTTCGGTGAGGAGATTATATCTATTATTTTACATTAAACTATCCTTATCCTATAATACACGTGAATTGTACAAAAAAAAATGACTGTGTGTCACATTTAAATTTATACAGCTTACCAGATATCATTATATCAATTCCCATTTGGTGTATTCAATGCTTTAACACATTGACTGTTATGTTACTGCTGAAGGTCATGAAATTAATATGTTAAATCTTATTTTTACAAGAACACACTTTTAATATAAATATATCATTAATGAAATTTATTTTCAGATAAAAACATGCTAGAGCGTAATGAAAATCAAGATAAGGATATTGTGACAATTGTGGACGAGTGTGATAGATGTACTAAAGTTGGATTTTTACCTGAAGTAGAAGCTTCTTATTTGGGGCTCTTGATTCATGTTATGGATCTTACTTCACTCAATTCCACAGACAATCATAAAAATATTGAAGCTCTTGTAGACAAGGTATTAAGTAATAACTTACAATATTCTTTTAGTATAATATCAACTACAATAACTAATTGAAATACTAAAACAAATTATTTTATTATTTACAATAGAAAATTGACTAAATTTTATTTTAAATTATTATTATTTAATTAATATTGAGGAATAATATTATTTTATACCTGTTAAATAATAATAATAATATTTATTGGTACCAATTATAAGATAAATAATATAACAAAATACAAAGAATAATTAAAACTTTGATTCTTTTTTCAAAATTAAGTTTGTGYTGAAAAGAGAGAGTTTGATAGTARGTATTATAACTATATGAAAAATAGTAGTAAATCATATGACGGTCAGTATAAATATTAAATTACAAGTTGTAACAAATGGTTGTATCTTAAAAAGCTAAATCATAGAAAAGGTTAAGTTTAACCTATTCTTTACTTTAGATGTTGACCTAGAGCTTGTAGATACGTATAAAAGATTTAAATATTGCATAATAATATTGCTTATATAGCTATTTGAAATTAAAAATTTATATAGAAAAAAGAAAACAAACAACAGTTATTGAAGCAAAACATTAGATATATATTTTATATACATTAAGAAACTTAAAATTATAATCAATACAAAGTTGAATAAACTTATATTTAGGGCTTTGTTACCMAAGTACAGTATTCATTTTAGGGACAATGATATTAGTATTAGTACTTTAAAGTGTGTATTGTAGATGTGACATGGAGCATCAATACATGTTTTCATATTATAAATACAATCAAATCTAAACTAACACCTTGATCTAGGTGTTTCTGAAATGAAATTAATCTAAATCTATATTTATAAAATAGATATCGTATACCAGATAACTGAACTGTTTTTCTTAAAAAAAAAAAAAAAAAAAAACTATTGCCAAAGTTTTACTAGTTACGTTTGATTTGACTGTTTAAGGTTATACTAAAAATATGGTTTAGTGGAGATTTCTGTTACATTAACAGATAAGAAAATTATAATTACTTAGGTAAATTTCTGTTTTATGTTAATTATGATTATTTATATTGAAGTTTATTAAACATTTTTAGGCTCTATATTATACCAAAAAAATGTTAAAAACTGATATTGAAAGTATGGCATCCAATCATTCTTGTGAAATTTATAACTACTTCACTACCAGTACATTGACTCCTCAAACGGTTTGTGTATCTTCTGTGCGTGTATCTGATGCTGTACAAATCATAAATTGTCTAAATGAACACATAGATATTGCTTCTGGTGAGTACATATTAAATTAAATATTTTTACATTGTGAYTTTTAATAATAAACATGTTTAGTTGCCGGAGGATTTCCGATGGGCCAAGTACCCTTGAGTTGTCGAATAACTGAAGTGGAATATGCAATTTCACAGGGAGCAGCAGAAATAGATATTGTAATTGATCGTGGTCTTGCAAATATTGGTGATTTTAATAGATTATATCATGATTTACGTTCCATMAAAAGTTTGTGTGTTAATGGTGATGTTACATTGAAAACAATTCTGTCTGTTACTGAATTGGATTCTTATCATACCGTGTATAAAATGGCTATGACAGCTATGATGGCTGGATCAGACTTTATTAAAACATCTACTGGTATGAATTATAAATATATAATAATATACAATTACATAAGATTAATTATAAGCTATTCACAGGCAGTCATTGTAGATTGGTTTTCTCTTTTTTATTCATGCACAACATAGCAAATTTGCAATCGACAAACCCCAATTTTATGTTGTTAGCTTTCATATTGTTGCGAGTTCACCTATTATCAACATTAAAGTTATGAAACATAAAGGGTATAAATGTATAATACATKTAGGTATAATATATTAATATTAAGAAAAAAGATTTATATACAGGGTGATTTTTTTATCATGAACCACTCATTATTTCAAAAAGTATCAATGTTTTTGAAAATATTTTTTTGTCACATCTGCACCGAAAGTTTGGTTTTCGACCAYGGTTGAAGCATTCAAAAGTGTCCTTTTYCCATCCAGCGGGCGGTAAAGTGGAAATCCCCAAAGTGCCGGGCGGAAAAGAGGAAATCCCCAAAAGTGCTGGGCGGAAAAGAGGAAATCCCCAAAAGTGCCGGGCGGAAAAGAAGAAATCCCCAAAAGTGCCGGCTGCCGGATGCGTATCCC